TCATTTTCAGAACGTAACCCCCGCGATAAACGAGGGATTACTGGATACACATATAGTTTTTTATGTATATATCTAGCTATATTATATGAGGAATTTTGTATATTACCGTGGAATTTGTGAACCGTCCCACCCCTAGTGGTATCGATAAGCCCAAACGTTATTGATTTTCGGGTTTTGAAAGAAGTGGAACCTTGATGGAACCGTGTTTGGATCCCCATCCCTATTCAATTCAATTCAATTCAATTCAATTCAATTCAAGTTCATTTATATAGCGCCACATCACAACAACAGTCGTCTCACAAAAATCTCATTGATTTTCGGGTTTTGAAAAAAGTGGAAGCGGGTCCTTGATGGAACCGGGTTTGGATCCCCATCCCTATTCAATTCAATTCAATTCAGTTAAATTAAATTAAATTCAATTCAATTCAATTTCATTTATATAGGGCCACATCACAACAACAGTTGTCTCACAAAAATCTCATAGATTTTCGGGTTTTGAAAAAAGTGGAACCGGGTTTGGATCCCCATCCCTATTCAATTCAATTCAATTCAATTTAATTCAGGTTCATTTATATAGGGCCACATCACAACAACAGTTGTCTCACAAAAATCTCAGATTTTCGGGTTTTGAAAAAAGTGGAACCGGGTTTGGATCCCCATCCCTATTCAATTCAATTCAATTCAATTCAGTTAAATTAAATTCAATTCAATTCAATTCAATTCAATTCAATTCAATTTCATTTATATAGGGCCACATCACAACAACAGTTGTCTCACAAAAATCTCATAGATTTTCGGGTTTTGAAAAAAGTGGAAGCGGGTTTGGATCCCCATCCCTATTCAATTCAATTCAATTCAATTTTATTTTTATAAAATATTTTATATTTTTTAGCACCACCTCATAGATTTTGGGGTTTGGATCCCTACCTGGCGGGTGGCGAGCACCAGCGCGTTGCAGTGGCGCCGGTGCACGCGTCTCCGTTTGAATCGGGGGCCGTACTTGTGCAGGCCGGCCACCGCCAGCCCCCGGCCCACGCTGAAGGAGGAGCCCCGCCCCCGGGGGGCGCCACCGCCCCCCCCCACCGCCCCCCCCACCGCCCCCCCCCTCAGAGGTCACCCGCAGCGTGTGGCGGATGCAGATCCGGGACAGCTCCTGCAGCGACCGCACCTCGTACCGCGCTGAAAAGGGTTAGAGGAGGAGAAGAAGAAGAAGAAGAGTTAAGTCACAAGATAGAGGGAGAAACGGGGTACAGAAGAAGAAGAAGAAGAAGAAGAGTTAAGTGTTTTAAAGATACTTTATCTACAGAGGCACAAGATACACATTAAATAACACGAATAAATGATGTTACATAAATAAATATTCTACAGATAATAACAAAGAAAAAAACGTAAAAGACAGAAAAAGAAGCTGTACGAAGAGAAGAAGAAAGAACCAGAAGAAGAATTAGGCAAAAGAAAAAAAAGAAGAAAGCACCAAAAGAAGAAGAGTTAATTCTAAGAAGAGTTAGAGGCACAAGATACACATTAAATTATGTTACGTAAATAAATACACTACCGATAATAACAAATAACAACAGTAAGAAGAAGGAGAAGAAGAAAAATAAGTTGTACAAACATAAGAAGAATGTACAAGAAGAAGAGGAAGAAATAACCAGAAGAAGAAAAAAGAAGAAAGCACCAGAAGAAGAAAAAAGAAGGCACAAGAAGAAGAAGAAAACACTAGAAGAAGAAGAAAGCACCAGAATAAGAAGAGTTAATAAATACTCTACCGATAATAACTTATAACAACAACAGTAAGAAGAAGGGAAAAAAAGAAACTCTACAAAGAAGAAAAAAGCACCAGAAGAAAAAAGTACCAAAAGAAGAAGAGTTAAGTTACAGACACTATCTACTGTTACAGAGGCACGAGATACACATTCAGTTATGTTACATAAATAAATACACTACCGAATCGATAATAACAAATAACAACAACAGTAAGAAGAAGAAGAAGCTGTACAAAGAGAAGAAGAAAGCAACAGAAGAAGAAAAAAGAAAGCACAAGAAGAAGAATTAGGCATAAGAAAATAAAAGAAAGCACCAAAAGAAGAAGAGTTAACTCCATTTACTGCTACAGAGGGATGAGATACACATTAAATGATGTTACATAAATAAATACACTACCGATAATAACAAATACCAACAACAGTAAGAAGAAGAAGAAAAAGAGATTGTACAAAGAGAAGAAGAATGTACAAGAAAAAAAAAAGGACCAGACGAAGAAGAAAAAAACAGAAGAGGAAAAAAGAAGAAAGCACCAGAAGAAGAGTTAAGTGTTTTACAGACACTATCTACTGTTGCAGAGGCAAAGGATACACATTACATTATGTTACATAAATAAATACACTACCGATAAAAACATATAACAACCGTAAAAGACAGAAAAAGAAGCTGTACAAACATAAAAAGAAAGCACCAGAAGAAGAATTAGGCAAAAGAAAAAAAAGAAAGCACCAGAAGAAAAAGAGTTAAGTTACAGACACTATCTGCTGTTATAGAGGCACAAGATACACATTAAGTTATGTTATGTAAATAAATACACTACCGATAATAACAAATAACAACAACAGTAAGAAGAAGAAGAAAAAGAAGTTGTACAAACAGAAGAAGAATGTACAAGAAGAGGAAGAAATCACCAGAAGAAGAGAAAAGAAGAAAGCACCAGAAGAAGAAAAAATAAGAACAAAGAAGCAGCAGAAGAAGAAAAAATAAGAAAGCACCAGAAGGAGAAGAAAGCATCAGAAGAAGAAAGAAAAAGAAAAAAAAAATAAGAAAGCACCAGAAGAAGAATGAGAAGACTCAGACTTACGCAGAGGGGCGGTATGGGGGCGGTAGTAGGGTGGTAGGGGCCAGACTTACGCAGAGGGGCGGTATGGGGGCGGTAGTAGGGTGGTAGGGGCCAGACTTACGCAGAGGGGCGGTTCTGGGTGGGTATGGGGGTGGTATTGGGGGTATGGGGGCGGTAGTAGGGTG